ACTTTGCACATCGTCATATTTCTTCGGCTCACAAATTTCTGTTCCTCGTCAACAAAATGGTCAAAATTGTTGAAAATTAATTTTATAAAATCATGGCATCCTTGCCTATCTTCAGTAGCGGGAACACCCTGACCGTTTTCCAGGCATCGGGAACTATTGGGGTGGTTAACGACAAGTTGAGGACTTTAGTTTAGTTTGCGCTTCTGATGACACTTGTAATATCATCCATCGTAAATTGTGGCGGTTTCTCCTCCACTTGAAGAACGCAATACTCTTCTTTTCGCCCTGTCACTCTCAAGGTGCTCTATAAACTGCCAGTTGAAACAACTCGCGCACCTCTTCAGATCTGTCACCTCAACGCCGTTAAATGGCAAAGACTGCCGATCATCCTTTCTTCCTGGGTTCAAGAGCGACTTAACCGGTGCCCACAATTTACTCACTCCGGTACTGGTGTTGCAACACTTCAGATGTTCCGCTTTTTCCGCTTGTGCTCGCCGACTAACATGTTCACTACCATCGTCATTTCTCTGATTCTGGGGTTAGTACGACGAAGCACAGCAAGCTCATTTGCTAATCCCGCTGCCTCCACTGGGAGGTTTGGTCTCAGCTGGGGTATACGACCTACAGTGATGATGACCTTTCCTTTCTGCTACCCGAGCATCAGAAAGATTGGGCAATTGGGTGAAATTTTTCTCTTGCCAATTGGCTTTCCCATGATTAAGGAAAGTACGGCGTTCAGAAGTTATGAAGTCGGATGGCCAATGAAATGACGGGTTGCCAAGCCACGACATTCGTCAGACCTGGAGACATGAATGAAATGTCTGATGAGCTTTGGCAGTTTATCCAGGGGGTTAGTCATTCACCGTTCAAAACGCTCAGCTTTCTATTTGCTCGACCAGCGCGTTGCCCCACTGGTCATTTCTTAGGACAGAATGACATACTTCATGATGTGTAATGACGGTTATATGACTAATGTCTGGCAAATAACGCGGGGCACAGCTATTTAACGGCGGAATGTAAACGTTAAGCACCTATAACCCGGCGTTACCACACTTGACCGCTACCCCCATACATTCCATGTATGGGTCACAGGAGTCTAGATCAAGCGAGATACATCTGTACTGGATAGAATGGTGCGATCATCCCTTATGAAGTTGCATCCATCACAACTCTGAAGACTGTATGTGTTATTCAGCTTCGTTTCATGGATCGTCGCGACCATAATAATTTTTCGACACATAAAATCAAAAATCGTTGATTTTCCCTCGAAGTCCATCGCAGTTCAATTGGAGAAATGAGACATTATCAGGAGTTGTGACAGCAGTGTGCGATGTTAGTGGCTGCGGAGATTGCGGGGGAGTCACGTAATCCGAAGACGACGACGATGATGACATGGACCACGATGATGACGAAGACTCGCTGGGCACTGCATTGTCGCAGCATGAAGCAATGTAGTCGTTTCCGCTATACTCCTGTACCCGGCTAACAACTGCTAAAATGTACCAATTCTCCGCACCCCAGAGTTTATCTCAATCCCGGCACGGACCAAAATAAGCAAACATTCCGTATAATGCTGCCACCTAGTTGAAAAATGGGCAGAATATTTATATGAGAGTTATTACAAAAATTGGGCCCATCCTATTAATAGTAACAAGATTTCAAATCTCAACAAACAGACGGACATGACTAAATAGACGAATATTTCACGGTGTTTCAAACGGAATGGATGTTATAAAATATTGTTACGAATATAACTTTAGATTTAAGTTAATTTAGATGAATTCCGTTAATTTAAGAATTTGAATTGTAACGTTAATTTCTACTACGCAGTTTATTCCAATAACTTCACAACAACAACTACTGTATAGATTTTTCTACATCCTTCCATTTCGTCTTTCATTTTCTATTTTGTTATTGACGTACAATTCTTGTTAAACGTCATCATTGATGATAGCTTAATTCCTCTTTCTTTGTTACTCCCTCGCCTGTATATGTGTTGTTGTTATTGTTCACTCAATGTAAGTTTGTATGTGTGTGTTGCATTGGTAGATTGTTCGCAATCTAGGTGTTACCAGATCGTCTAGAAACTTCTGTAGCGACAGGCAAGGCTCATATAAATAGGGGAAATGGAAAGGCAGTTAGTCAGTTGTGAATCAGATCGCGAATTGAAACCGTCAAGTAAAGTAAAGTGCAAAGTAAAGTTGTGTCAATAAAATCATTGTAATATTCGTAATCAGAAAGAACCCGCGTTTTATTTAGTACGAACTGTATTGGGAAATAAAACAACGTCTACACTGGATTAAGTAAAATCTAAGAACGTAACAATATGTATCCGAACACCGAAATAAGTTTGTGTGTTTTATTTGGTAAGCCGATGATTTTTTAATTGAAGAGTTATTTAATATAAGGAAGGAATTCGAATTAATGTTTGAAAATGCCTGTTATTTTATATATATATATATATATATATATCCCCCAAATAAACCACGTCTATGTTTGAGTATATGTCTGTGTTATCTCTGGTAATTTTTTCTGTCTGAAACATTTTAAATGTATATTTTTTTCAGTTATTTAATGCAAATTAAAGAATATTTTATACGGGTTCAAGGAGCAACAAGTGTTTAAGAGGAGGATTTAGAAATTTAGAACGAACAATTCTGTAATTTTATAAAATGTAAACAATGTTTGCTATATATTTTGTAGGCCAGTTCAAACAACAAAAAATGTCATTGTGAATACTTTAATTTTAGAATAAGCAATGCGTTATTTTGAAACTCCTCAGATATTGCCTAGCAAGGTTTCCTAATTTCCATTCCTCACATTATTACGGCCCTCCTCTTTTCTCCCTATGTAATATTTCCCAATCCTCTCTCAATTCTCTGATCTCTGTAATAAAATTACGAAAAAAATCTCTATATAACATTGTATTGTTTACAATTCTCCAAGATGCAAGTGTATGCCCGCCGGCTACCTCCTCAAATCATCGCCCCCTCTTCAAAAGTACAATGTAAACAAATCGAACTGAAACTTAAAGCTAAGCTAAATAGTAGCTACTATAAATCAAAGAAAATAGCTATTTAAATAGTTCGACGTCATTGTCGCAAGATTAAAGGTAATTTTCGATTGTTGTTGCTATTGTTGTAGTTGTCACGTAAGTAAGAATTTATAAATTCGACTCAATATAATATGCCGGCTTACAATATTTTGTGTGTGATTAGATGTAGTACCTAGCACCAACAACAACACAACCGAACGAAGGAACGAGCGGGCAAGTGCGCGAGCGAACGAACGGACGAGTCACAAACAGCCACGCTCGAACACCTATTTTGTATATCCGCGTCTGTGACATAGGTCTGTGTTTAACGCTAATCAGTTCTTAATTTTTATTTTATTTATTGTGATGATGGTTGTTGTTGTTGCTGGTATTTTCTATCAGTTTTGTGAAAACATTGAACAAAATAATTTGTTGACAGCAGACGGGAAGGTAGATAGCTTCCAATGTCGAAATAAGTTAGGGAAGGGAGAGAGAGAGAGAGAGTAAGTGCAGGGTATACGAAGTTCAAATTGTGACAGCAATATGTTTACATAGAGTCTCCTGTATTAATTTACTAAATTAGTACAGTGCATGCATAAAGAGAGGCCTTAGTAGTAAAATTTTGTAAAAAATCCACGCCTATGGTAGCACCTCAAAAAGTATTCTTTAAAAAATCCACGCCTAAGGTAGCACCTCAAAAAGTATTCGTTTAAAAAATCCATAGGACCTCAAAAAATATTCGTTTAAAAAATCCACGCCTATGGTAGGGTAGGACCTCAATAAAAATTTTCGTTTAAAAAATCCACGCCTATGGTAGGGTAGGACCTCAATAAAAATTTTCGTTTAAAAAATCCACGCCTATGGTAGGGTAGGACCTCAAAAAATATTCGTTTAAAAAATCCACGCCTATGGTAGGGTAGGACCTCAAAAAATATTCGTTTAAAAAATCCACGCCTATGGTAGGGTAGGACCTCAAAAAATATTCGTTTAAAAAATCCACGCCTATGGTAGGGTAGGACCTCAAAAAATATTCGTTTAAAAAATCCACGCCTATGGTAGGGTAGGACCTCAAAAAATATTCGTTTAAAAAATCCACGCCTATGGTAGGGTAGGACCTCAAAAAATATTCGTTTAAAAAATCCACGCCTATGGTAGGGTAGGACCTCAAAAAATATTCGTTTAAAAATCCACGCTTATGGTAGGGTAGGACCTCAAAAAATATTTGTTTAAAAAATCCACGTAGGGTAGGACCTCAAAAAATATTCGTTTAAAAAATCCACGCCTATGGCAGCACCTCAAAAAATATGTTTTAAAAAATATTCTTTAAAAAATCCAGGCCTCAAACATATGTTGATGCTATTTTCCTTTTACAGAACCCCTATTAGAGGTCTTCTATTCCAATCCCTTGTCTACCACGATACTATTTGCCGTGTAAGCCTAGATGACAAATCAAGTACACTCCACGAAAAAATAAACATCTACTATCCCGCTTTTAATTTTGATCAAATACAATGATTGTGGTTTTCTGACATTTAGCTTTGGCGTACGTCCGTTTGTTCGTACATATTCGGTCTGTAGGTCGGTGGTAGTGTCTGGAAGTGATAACATATGCGTGTGTCACTCTGTGTTCTCCAGGCATATTACGATAATCGACAAACAAAATATTCAGAAGCAAAATATTCAACAGCTACCGAAGTTAAACTAAGGCATTTCAGAGCGAGAGAGAGAGAGAGTGCGGGTAGCCGAACAGAATGCAATCGCAATTTGATTTGCCGGCTTGGCTTGACTGGCTGGCTGGCTATTTGCTAAATAAGTGCACATTATACAAACAATTAATTTAGTATTTACTTGATTTTGATTTGGTGTTTGGGTTTTGTTTGATCTTTTCCAATCAGTCGGTTTTAGAAGCTAGGCGTATTGAGGCGAACAACGCACAAAACGTAACGTATTTCGTATCGATTTCAAAATGAGTGCTTTCTTAAGGGTTCTGTCATTTATATTCAATATTGTGGCATTGGTGGTAAATGAAATTACAAATCTAATTATACCACGACGTAAGCCCAACTATCCGCCGATTAAAAATCCATTGCTATTGAAATCGGTAACAGAACTTTTGGGTGATCTGAAAGAGAGGAAGGTAAAATTATTTGGAATAAATTTAAATTATTTTTTTTTTTAAATACTTACAAAAATGTGAATGTGTGTGTGTTCCAGATTACTTCGTATGAAATTGTTACAGCCTATATTGAACGGATTAAAGAAGTCGATAGTAAATTGAATGCCGTCGTTGAACATCGTTATAATGAGGCTCTGAAAGAGGCACGTCATGCCGATAATTTAATAAGTAAAGCCCAAGATGATATGCAGTTGATGTTGCTGTTCAGCAGATATCCGCTACTGGGGATACCATTTACCGTCAAGGAGGCATGTGGTTTGAAAGGTGAGACATACTGAAAATATAAGATCTATTTGAAAAGAATATGGATTTTTAAAAATATATTTTGAGGGTCTATCCATAGGCGTGGATTTTTTGAAGAATATTTTTTGAGGTACTACCATAGGCGTGGATTTTTTAAACGAATATTTTTTGAGGTGCTACCATAGGCGTGGATTTTTTAAACGAATATTTTTTGAGGTGCTTCCATAGGCGTGGATTTTTTAAAAAATATTTTTTCAGGTTTTCAGGATTTTTTAAACGAATATTTTTTGAGCTGCTACCCTACCATAGGCGTGGATTTTTTAAACGAATATTTTTTGAGGTGCTACCATAGGCGTGGATTTTTTAAACGAATATTTTTTGAGGTGCTACCATATTTTTTAAACGAATATTTTTTGAGGTGCTACCATAGGCGTGGATTTTTTAAACGAATATTTTTTGAGGTGCTACCATAGGCGTGGATTTTTTAAACGAATATTTTTTGAGGTGCTACCATAGGCGTGGATTTTTTAAACGAATATTTTTTGAGGTGCTACCATAGGCGTGGATTTTTTAAACGAATATTTTTTGAGGTGCTACCATAGGCGTGGATTTTTTAAACGAATATTTTTTGAGGTGCTACCATAGGCGTGGATTTTTTAAACGAATATTTTTTGAGGTGCTACCATAGGCGTGGATTTTTTAAACGAACATTTTTTGAAGTGCTAACATAAGCGTGGATTTTTTAAAGAATATTTTTTGAGGTGCTAACATAGGCTTGGATTTTTTGATAAATTAAGCTATCACATGCCATGTTTATTTCTTGTTCCGCAAACATTTGGTTCCTATTGTCATTAAAAAATATGAGGGTAGCTTTAAATTTACCCACAATAAAACATTGGATGAAAATCGATTTTCATGAATGAAGAGAAGTTTTTTATCAACTAGGCCTCACTACTCAATGTTCCCCCTTTTACGTTTTGTGTGCCACTGTTTAATTTTATTCCTTCACTAGGGCACTAATGTTGACGCATTGAAATTATTCAAACATTTTTATTAATCAAAGTCCGCACTTGTTAGAACTTTGAACTTGGTTTTAGTTGCTAATCAAAAAATTAAAAAAATTGACGTGGGTCTTTGTATTGATAACATGTGCCAGCCGTGAGCCAGGTCTAGTGAGCATGATAGATAGGTTAGTTACGGAGAGCAAAAATGTTTTGAATCTCTTTTTAGGTTTCAGACGAAAAAAAAATGAATAATTATTAATTAATTAATTAAATTAATTGTGATATTGATGGACCATAAAAAAATATTCTTTAACAAAATCCACGCCTATGATATTGATGGACCCGTTGTTTAAAAAATCCACGCCTTTGATAGTCCCTCAAAAAAAATGTTTTTAAAAAATTCCAATTTGAAAGACCATTTTCGGCAATGTTGTCTTCGACTTGATCTTTCCATCTTATTCGTGGCCTTCCCCTTCTGCGTGAACCATCAGCTGGTTCGCTTTTATATGCCTCCTGGGTTGGGGCATTTTCATCCATTCCCACAACATGCCCTAGCCAACGTAGTCGCTGTAGCTCAATACGGCTAACAATAGCGATGTCCGAGAGAATATTCACCGTCAACGCAGATCGCTCCATAGATCTTTCGGAGAATTTTTCTCTCAAACACTGCCAGAGCTGTCTCATCTGCTTGCACACGTACCCATGCTTCAGATCCATATAACAGCACGGGTAGTATCAGCGTCTTGTAGAGTGTGAGTTTGGTCTGGCAGGAGGTGGCATTGTTTCTAAACTGCTTACTTAGACCATAGTAGCATCGGTTGGTCATCACTACCCTTCTCTGAATTTCAAAACTGATGTCATTCGTTTTGTTTATGGCGGTATAAAACAAAACGAATATATAAATTCTTTGACTACATCGAACCTGTAGTTCTCAAGTTCCACAGTTGGTCCGAGTCTACTGGACTTCTTGCGCGTTGATAAAAATGTCACACGACAAACTGTCACCTTGTCTAAATACTCGTTCGGTATTAAAGGGCTCCGAGAGGTCCTTTCCGACTTTAACTGCTGATCTTGTGCCAGTTAAAGTTATCCTGCATAGCCAGATTAATTTTGAAAGAATGCCGAACGCAGATATGGCTTTATACACCTCTAAAAGGAAAGGGCTGTCGAATGCGGCTTTATAGTCGACGAATAGGTGAAATGTGTCGATGTGTTTTTCGTGCGGGTTTTCCAGGATATGGCGCAGAGTGAAAATCTGGTCAATGGTGGATTTGCCAGGTTTGAAGCCGCATTGGTATGGTCCAATAATGTCATTGAGCATTGGTTCAGTCGTTCACACAGTACGCCGGATAGCACTTTATATGCGATGGGTGGAGACTTGTTCTATATCGAGTTTGCACATATCGCCTTGTAACCACCATTTTTTGTGCACGGGACACAGGATGCTGAGGTTCCAATCATTAAGGCATGCATTCTTCTAGCCAAATTGTACTCTTCAGCTGGTGCATGCTCCTTACCAGCATTTGACCATGGCCAGGACAATGGTGATATGCTAACCGATCGGCAAATACTGCATTATTATTTATTCTGGGGTATCTTCTTCACCGCCACTATTTGATACCAAAAGTTTTTCAAAATGCTCCTACCAGATCCTCAGCACGCTGTCTGGAGTTAATCATCTACTGGAGTTAATCTGGAGACGATGTCTTTTATTCTCCTGTTAACCATAAATCCGCAGCCAAATTCACGTCTCGTTTCATGGCAGCTATAATACAGGCCGTAATTGTCTGATTTACTTACGCCTGTCCCTTTCCATCGCATTTCTTGTAAGGCAATAATATCGGCTTTGTACTTCTTGAGTACATTCGCCAAGGCTGTGCCTGTTCTGTACAACGTGCGCACATTCTAAGTGCAGATTCGCAGATCGTGGTCCTTTTTACGTTTGTGGGGGTCGTCAACATTAGGGGGGTTTGGTTTTCATTGTCTTTTCATAGTAGGTTGGGTGGGCAACTAACCCGACGCCTCAACCCATTTATTTTTTTAGTTCTTATGGGTGAACTCGCGGCACATATTAGCTCACTATTTCATCGGGTGATGAAAATAGCTACCCCAGGTGTGGCACCTGTGCTTGGTATCTATCATCCCCTACGCCACCCCCTATTGTTGTGATAGTCCCTCAAAAAACCCATTGATATATTTATTGAAAAATTCTTATTATTAAATAAAATACTTTACCCATAACCTCCTCCTACAGATCTCTCACATAGCGTTGGAAGTGTTGCGCGCAAAGAAGAAAAATCTGCCACAAATGGTGATGTAGTGGAACTGGTAAGAGCTGCCGGTGCCATACCTCTTTTGGTATCAGCAAATCCTGAATTTTGCTTGGCCTTTGATGGTGAGTCAATTGTTTCCGGTAAATGTCTAAATCCCTATGATCTGCGACGATCATCAGGTGGTTCTTCAAGTGGTGAGGTAAGTGTTACAAGGAACTAAAACCGAGAGCGTTCTATTTATTTTTAAATCCTTTTTAGGGTACTCTAAATGGTGCTGGAGCTTCAACCTTTGGCTTGGCCTCGGACATTAGTGGTTCGATACGTTTGCCTTCGCTGTTCTGTGGTGTATTTGGTCATAAACCCACGGGGGGTCTTACATCGGTAAAGGGCCATTTTCCCTTTAGTACCAAAGAACCAGAATTTCCATTTTTCCTACAAATGGGTCCTATCACTAGATTTGCTAAGGATTTACCACTGCTACTGCAAATTATGGCTGGGGAAAATGCTGCCAAATTGAAGTTGACTGAAAATGTCGATTTTAGTAAATTAAAGGTGAGGAATATTGAAAAAAAATTGAATATGGGAATTAATATAAATTGAGAAAAAATCAGATCTATTACAGCTACTCAATGGGAAGTATGCTGCATGTTCCGGTAGATTTTGAAATCAAATTGGCCATAACCATGGCTGTGAAGTGCTTTGAAAAGGGTGGCATAAAAACGGAGGAGGTAAGGCTTGATGATGAGAATAATATCCTGATATTAAAACTATTTTATTTTTATTGTATAGCTGCATTTGGCGGAATTACAAGATGCCATCGAAATATGCCTGTCATCATTGGCCGGTATCAAAGGTCTTCCCAGTGTTGTAACACAATCAGTCACCGATAAACCCAACAAACTAGAATTGATTCAAAAAATTGCTCAAAGCCTTTTCGGATTGGCACCATACACCACCATGCCGCTGTTTGTGGAATTGATGATATTGGTGAATGCTTAAAAATCCACGCCTATGAATAGACCCTCTAAAAACATTTTTTAAAAATCCACGCCTATGAATAGACCCTCTAAAAACATTTTTTAAAAATCCACGCCTATGAATAGACCCTCTAAAAACATTTTTTAAAAATCCACGCCTATGAATAGACCCTCTAAAAACATTCTTTAAAAATCCACGCCTATGAATAGACCCTCTAAAAACATTCTTTAAAAATCCACGCCTATGAATAGACCCTCTAAAAACATTCTTTAAAAATCCACGCCTATGAAATCTAAAAACATTCTTTAAAAATCCACGCCTATGAATAGACCCTCTAAAAACATTCTTTAAAAATCCACGCCTATGAATAGACCCTCTAAAAACATTCTTTAAAAATCCACGCCTATGAATAGACCCTCTAAAAACATTCTTTAAAAATCCACGCCTATGAATAGACCCTCTAAAAACATTCTTTAAAAATCCACGCCTATGAATAGACCCTCTAAAAACATTCTTTAAAAATCCACGCCTATGAATAGACCCTCTAAAAACATTCTTTAAAAATCCACGCCTATGAATAGACCCTCTAAAAACATTCTTTAAAAATCCACGCCTATGAATAAAAATCCACTCCTATGGACATTCTTTAAAAATCCACGCCTATGAATAGACCCTCTATAAAAATCCACGCCTATGGATAGACCCTCCAAAAAATATTCTTTAAAAATCCACGCCTATGAATAGACCCTCTAAAAACATTCTTTAAAAATCCACGCCTATGAATAGACCCTCTAAAAACATTCTTTAAAAATCCACGCCTATGAATAGACCCTCCAAAAAATATTCTTTAAAAATCCACGCCTATGGATAGACCCTCAAAAAATTTACTTTAAAAAAATCCACGCCTATGGATAGACCCTCAAAAAATTTACTTTAAAACCCCTCGCCTTCTAATAGTCCCCCTCCAAAAAACAATCTGTAAAAATCCACGCTTTGATAGGCCTGCCTTTGTTTGTCCCTCTAAAAATATTTTTTTAAAATCCAAGCCTTGATAGACCCGCCTTTGGTAGTCACTCTAAATTTTTTTTTTTTAATCAACGCAATGATAGACCCCCAAAAAATATTCTTTTAAAAATCCTTTGTTTGTCCCTCAAAAAAATATTATTTAAAAATTAATTTTCATTTCTCTATGCCCTTCTTCTTTTCCAGAACATTCTCGGCACCAATGGCGTTCTAATCTTGCCCACTTATCACAAAACTGCCAATTTCTTTAAGGGATGTTCACTGCTGAATATAAGCGGTGTCATTTTTATGCTGCTCTTTAATGTTTTGGGCTTCCCAGCCACCCATGTACCAATGGGTTTAGATCGAAATGGTCTGCCGGTTGGTTTTCAAGTTGTTGCAGCACCCTACATGGATAAATTGTGCCTACAAGTTGCAACTGAAATGGAGGCGGCCTTTGGCGGTTGGGTACAACCTCAAGTTTAAAAATAGAGAAGAATTCCTCATTATTTGAAGCTATGCCGAATAGAATTCTAATGTCCATTACAACGGAACTGATTTAATAAGTAATAATAAAAATAAAATATTTATTTAGTTTATAAGATTATTTTACATATATATCATTGTTGCTGTTACTTAATATTATTTTTAAAAACAAAAATGTAAAGGGATTTTGATATTTTGTTAAAAATATATATAGAATAAATAAAAATATGTTTAATATTTTTATTTGTGTTTTTTTTAATTTTTAAGTCAGTTTTTTCTCTTTGGAATCGAGGTTAATGATCATGTTGTTTAAATAATAATAAGGATTTTTACTGAAAGATATTTAGCTCATGAAAAAATTATACTTCAAAAATCCATGCATCATACAGTCCTACAATCCTTAAAAAATTCGGTTAAAAACATGCCAAAAATCTCTAAAATACCGAATATTTGGTGGTGTCGTTATACGTGGCTATACCATATCGTGGGAAGATATACACATTTTAAATGCCAAGCATCCTAGCCGTAATAGCAATGTATGTTCAAAATTTCAACGCTCGATCTTTAATATTGCGAGCTCTATCGTGATTTCAATAGACAGACGGACATGCATATATCGACATAGAATTTTACTCTAATGAAGGATATATACCAACCTAAATGTGAAATTTTGTGAAAATTGGTCCAGACGACGAGATGCAGACGGATAAAACATACATAGCTAGACCAATTCGGCTAGTGGAGATACAACAATCGACGTATTAAAAAAAATAGTTTCAGAACAAATAATTCGTGGTGTTAGAAATTCTTAAGGCCACCAAAACTCACAATACATTTACAGCATTGTTGTGTAGGGTATAAAAATCTCCAATTACAGGTCATATCGACGCTGAAACAATATTCGTTAACAATTATAGGATTAATAGTTCTCGAAAAATATTCTTAAAAACACTATTATACTGTGTTTATTAAATATTTCCATGATGGTCGAATTCATGCCAGCCACATTTAAAAGCTCAGGATGTTCCACAGGTTTCCATCCATCTTCATTACGATTACAAGTATGATAGTCCTTGAAAAATGTGCATTCTTCGTCAGAAAGATTCTGAACAAATATTCTGTAATAACCCACGATTATAGAATTAATAGTTGTTAAAAATATGTTTAAAGCCTGTAACTCAGTTCTTTAAATATTTCCATTATGGAGGAATTCAAGCCATCTTTAAGAGCTCAGAATGTCCACCAATTTCATTCTATATCAGAACCTCAATATCACAGAAACTTTTACTAACAAATGATAACAAATTTTATACCCTTTGCCACTCTGTGGTTATCTCTGTATTATAACTTTGGTAATATGTTTGTAACAGGCAAAAGGAAATTGTTCCTTTGGAAAATATGCATAGAATCACTTTCTGAATCGATGTATGCATGTCCCTCCGTCTGTCCATGTATTTTTGTGAGCAAACTATAGATCGCATTTATGATCAGAATTGGATGACATGTGTTTTCTTTTTTTAAATCGGTTTAGATTCAGATATAGCTCCCATATAAATAGTTCACCAAACCGCTAGGCCCGTGCAGTTAATTAAATACAAAACGACGTATGTGAAGTTTTGGTGAAATCGGCTCAGATTCAAATATAGCTCCCATATATGTTTTCGTTCGATTTATGGTAATGGAGTGCCAAACTCCCAAAGTTTGTCCGATTGAGACAAAATTTTGCAAAGCGATAACAATTGAGTACAGAGACAAAATTTTGCAAAGCGTCCTGAATCAAAGGCTCTATGTTTACTTGTTGTACTTGAGTCTGGATAGTGTGTGTTTAGGTTCGTTGAAACCATTGCAGACTTGGATATAGCTCACACACATAGATTTCAGAATGACATGTGTATGATTTGATTAAAATAATTTCAGAATAGTTTCAAATATCCATATAGAGCACACATATAAAGTTTGTCCGTTTTCATGTCAGTGGTCCCCCAAAGATGTTATGTTTATTCTATCAACAGGTTATTGGGAACAAATGCACTTTATGGACACCTCTCTTTACCATAGGTAGCCCTTCTGATGCTGATTACAACTACATACATTTTTTTCAGTACTTCCCGTGATATGGTATCCAAAAGTTTCAAAATTATCCCCACATTTTATCAACTATTTGTAAGAATATCACTCCGAAACCTTGGAAATTTTTACTGCACATAGTCCTTTTGATCCGGGAAGTGTGCGTTAAGTGAATTTAATCCCAAAACATATCAGATGACTATGTGTGTTCAAATTTTTGATGTACCCGGCGTTGGAAATTGCTGACTCTTAAAACGAGTTTGCGGTATACCGTCACAACTTATTTGTTTCATCATCGTAAAGATCGTATTGGTCTGAATGGGTGATACGCCATTTGCTTCCTCAAATTTAATTCTTACCTATAAAATTAATCACAATTACTTTCAAAAAGAAAATATGTATTTGAACCAACGTACCTGTATGTAGTGTTGGATTCACATGGCGGAGATTATCGCGAAACCAAAAAAAAAAATTAGACAATTTCTGACACTATTTTCACAAAATCTTAATATTTTGATGTTTAAAACACTAAAATAATATTGAAAACACAACTAATACACTTATTTTGGCACAATTTCTAGAAATTTTCATCAATTCAATGTTTAAGTAACAGTAAAATTCCGAACACAATTTTTTTTCATTTCAAACAAAAATAATCTTGCTGTGCCGGATTTTCAAATTGTTAAGCAAAAGTCGAATAACGATTGACAGATCCCTTAATATTTTTCAACAAACCTTTCCAAATAGTTTACTGGTTAAATCGTCTAAGGTTCTCAAACTGTAAGCTGAATTGAAATCAATGCAGATTTCCTTACCAATCAACCTCGTTTTTTGTTCATATGGAACATTATTAAGGATATATACATATATATGCATATTATATTATTTAAATTTGGCATTTGTTAATTTTTTAAATAAATTTAATCAAAAGACTTCACTAATATGATGCTCAAACTGTAACTTGTTGAAAAGAAATCAGTTTGTAAATCCCTAACTGATTATTCAAACGTCGATCTACGTAGCCCTAAAACTATCAGCTGATTTTGTATATATCTTTCTTAAACTTTATCGCCATTATGCTCTAAACTTATTCGTAAACACTTGTCGCTACTGGTCAATCTCCTCTGCCTCACCATCACCTCCGCCCTCACCCCCACCCCTTTCGATTCATGGGAACGTTTTTAATCGGTTAAAGTAGTTAACTTTTGTCACTTCCATTTTAGCCGCAATCTTTTATCATTGTCTATTTTTTTACTTAAGTTCCAGTTATTAGCAGCTTTAATGTGTTCCATTAACTGAAATACAATGGAATTTGTACTCAGATTATTGCAATTTATTGTTAAAATAGTTTATAATATCGTATACATTGTCCTAGCTGTACTATTTACACGAAAAAAGGATGAAAAAATTCCCGCCATTAAGGATAGACTGGTGACAATACCCTTGGTGGATATTGTCGAATTGATGAGAACTAAAAGGGTGAGGGGAAAAACATTTTGTTGGGGCACTAATAAAATTAATCTTTTTTTGGAATACACAGTTAACCTCCCAAGAATTAGTGAAGGCCTATATCGAACGTCTCAAGGAAGTCAATCCCCATATCAATGCCATTGTCGAGGATCGTTTTGAAGAAGCCCTAACTGATGCCAAACGAGCAGATGATTTAATATTTAAATGTGCAAATAGTCAGTTGCCGCAATTGTATGCCCGGTATCCTCTATTGGGTATACCATTTACGGTCAAGGAGGCATGTGGTTTAAAAGGTAAATTGGAGTAGAAAATCGTCAGTTTTTGATTTAAATTGTTCAAAAAACTATCTTATCTATTAAATAATATTCAAAATATATGTTATTGTAGGCATGTCTTTTGTTGTTGGTAGTCTTCAGCGTGTTGACACAAAGGCCAAGCGTGATTGCATAGCTGTGGAAAATTTAAAATCTGCCGGAGCTATACCACTACTGGTCTCAGCAAATCCTGAATATTGTTTTAGCATAGAAACCAATTCCTATACAAATGGTAAATGTTTAAATGCCTATGATTTTCGACGAACATGTGGTGGTTCATCTGGTGGTGAGGTAAGTTCCGAATCGATTACTTGTTCCAATACAAAACAATATTAATTTATTTTTATGTTTATTAATAGGGCGCTTTGAATGGCAGTGGTGCCACTCTATTTGGCATTGGTTCGGATATTGCTGGTTCCATACGTATTCCGAGTTTATTTAATGGGGTATTTGGTCATAAACCCACCGGAGGTTTAATACCCAACATAGAGGTATTCCCTTCATCGGATGATGAGGAATGTAACCAGTATTTACAAACAGGTGTGATCAGCAGATTTGGTTCAGATTTGGGACTTATATTGCATATTATGGCTGGTGAACATGCCCGAAAATTGGAATTTGTACATCCAATTGAAACGAAGGATATTAAGGTAAGATACTTTTGAAAAAGAAAAGCGATTTTTAATCGAAAATTCACTAATATAGAAAAATCCAGGGATCTCAACACGGCTCAAACACCCCAAGGTTATGATAATGAATGGAATGAAATTTAGAAGAGGGACTATCAAAAATATTTAAAAAAAATCTAGGTCTTTTGTAAGACTCCCAAAAAATATATTTTTAAATCAGTAAGGAAAGTAGTAAAGTCGGACTGAGCCGACTATATGATACCCTTCATCACTTGGGTATTTTGTACATATGTATCTCTACAATTGTATACCAATGTTCATTCAAAGGAACATACTCATGTCTTTCTTCAACTTATGATAAATTTAATTTCATTCTGGCAGATTTAAAGTCGTCTGGGACAAATTTATGGAAAACAATTTATAGCAAAATCGATTCACGCTATTCGGTACTCCGCACTGTTAAAAATTTAATCTCAATCAGACACCCGTTGGAAATACATATCGAAGCTATGGCTGCATCTGCACCAATTTCAACAAAACCCAATAACGTCATTCAAGACCCAATTCGTTACGCTGTGCCAAATTTCGTGCAAACCGAAAGATATTAAGGGACTTTGGTTCACCATTTACCTTAAATCGGACGATTTTCACGAAAATTAGCACACATCTTTCTAGACTTAATTCAGTAAGCTGTGCCAAATTTCGTGCAAATCGAAGGATATATAGGGACTTTGTTGCACCATTTACATAAAATCGGACGAAGATATATATGGGAGCTATATCTAAATCTGAACCGATTTTTCCCAATTTCAATAGGGTTCGTCCTTGGGCCAAATAAATGAGCTGTGCCAAATTTCATCCAATTCGAATCAAAAATACGACCTGTACTTTGTTTACAATTGAACATGGACAGACGGACGGACGGACATGCATAAATCGACTTAGAAAGTGATTCCCTTTGAGAATATGCTCAATAGGAACCATGTGTCTATCTCGTTTCCTTTTGCCTGTTACAAACATATGCACACGTCTATTGTAGGGCTCTCAAAATTATTTTTAAAAAACCTATTATAAAATCAAAAAATATTTTAAAAAATCCACTCTCAAAAAATATTTAAAAAAAATCAACTCTATTTTTTTTTAATTTCCAGATATTTTACTCCCTGGGCTTCAGTGGTCTCAATGGCATTTGCCACTATGGTGTTACAGCGGAAATACAAATTGCCATACTGAAAGCTGTAAAATGTTTGCAACAATCGGGACTAACTACCCAAATAGCCAACATTAAGGGGTTGGAAAATTCAACAGAAATTGCATTTAGTGGTATTGCCCGCCTCAAAAAATTGCCTCTACTAATGGATGAAAATACGAGCGTTAAGGAATTGCTACAAGAACTAATGAAAAGCTATGTGAAAAAATCTAAATACACTAAGGAAGGTCTAACATTTGAGTTACTGCGACGTACCAATGCATTTATGAATTCTGAAAAATTAATGAAATACAAAGAAGAGGGTCAGAAGTTAAAGCAGGAAATTATTGTGAGTATTTTATGAAACAAATTAAAAATCCCTTTATTATTCCCAATTTATTTTTTTAAAGAATTTACTCGGCAACGATGGTGTTCTTTTCTTCCCCACCTTCCCCGTACCGGCAATACATCATCACACATCATCTTTGGCCCAATGGGGTATAGACTATTCGCTGTTGTTCAATATCTTGGGTTTACCTTGTACCCATATTCCAATGGGTGTAGATGCTGATGGTATGCCAGTGGGTTTCCAGGTAATTGCTGCCCCTTTCAAGGACAAGCTGTGTCTACAAATTGCTGGTGCTTTAGAAATGGCATTTGGTGGCTGGACTCCACCGGTTAAACATGCATTTTCTTAGAATATGTGTACATATTGTAAATTTTTCGTCCATTTTTAAAAGAAAGTAATATTTTTTAGAAACTTTTTACAAGTATTTTCGAAACATTTTTTATATACATATGTATGTAACATTTTGTGGTGATGTATTTATAATACTTTTTTTCTATGGCAATAAAATTGCAATTTTTATAATAATAAATATATAATATATTTGAAGTCAAATACCAGTCAGAACATTCGATGGAATCCCTTTTTGACAAGAGTTCTTTGGCATCATCAACCAATGAGAAGTCGTCCAGATGAAGAACCCCTTGGAAGACTTGGAAAGGTGACTATGAGCGATATATCTAAGGCTGATTTAAAAATTTTAGCCATGTTGGCCCTGGGCAGGAGCATGGAAAACTTCACAATATAGACATTTCAGCGTTTCAAAATAGGCAATGATAGATTACCTCGACTTCGACGATTTCGACGTTATTATTACGAGCAGAGAATCTTCGATAAAGATCGCTCAATGATGGATGAAAGCTCTTGAAAGTGTCTCAGTCGGTTTTGTCCACAGATATATACCCTCAGCCTATGGTTTGCGAAGGTCTACGGAGTTACACACAGGTTTTATTATTCGTTTAATACCTATAAGGTATATGTTTTTTCAGAGAGATTTTGGATTTAATGTTGAGCACATCGAATGTGGGAAGTATTTAAAATCCAATACCGACCATTATTAAAGTTTTGGAAGCATTTAGTATTCATGTTCTCTTATAGTACGTTTTTCAAAACTACCTCTATATCTCAACACTACACACCAATTCTGATTTTTTGACCTTTGCACTCTTATAATACTTTTTTTGAAAACAATTTAAAACATATAAATATATACAAATTAAGTGCCAGTTAGTATACATTAATATACATTTCCATAACTACCTACTTTAACAATCATAAGTACGAATATCCAACAGTTCCCACGTACAACAATCTTAATTCCAAATTTCAGGATTCTATCGGTTCACCTGAATCCAATTTGTATCACATTTAGTAACACTTAGAACACATAAGTACAAATTTCCATTACTACCTACAATGGAAATCTTATTTTTCAATTTCAGGATTCCAGCTCTATCGGTTAACTTTTAATCCAATTTGTACAAAATTTAATGACATTTAGTATACATTAGTAAACATTTCCAAAACTTTTTATATACCCAAATCAAATACCACAACAAAGATCCTAATCCACATGGCAAGATTACAGATCTATCGGTTCACCAAAATCTATATTTGTTACAATTTAGTACACATTAATACGAATTTCCAATACATTCTCCATATCCCAATCCTTCACCCTAACAATGATCCTAACTCCAAATTTCAGAATCCCAGCTCTATCAGTTCATCAAAAATTCAAATTGTACCAAATCTAGTACAATATAGTACCCATAAGTATGAATTTCCAAAACTACATCCTACTCCAATCCTACACTCCAACTGTAACCTTATTTCCAAATTTCAAGGTTTCCAGCTCTATTGGTTCACCTAAAATTTTAATTGTACCATATTTAGTACACATTAGTACAAATTTCCAAAACTTCCAACAAAGCCCAATCCTATAACCCATCAGTGAACCAAACGTTAAATTTCAAAATTGCAGCTTAATCGGTTCACCCAAATCCTCATTTGGTACCATTTGGTAAACATTTTCAAAACTTCAGACATCGGTTCACTCAAAATTTAAATTGCACAAAATTTAGTTCACATTAGTAGGAATTTCCAAAACTCTCTAAATTGCTCAATTCTACCCCAACAATGATCCTAACTCCAAATGTTAAGATTCCAGTTCTATCGGTTAACCCAAATCCAAATTTGGTACTATATAGTACACATTAGTACGAATTTTCAAAATTCCTTCATACCATAATCCTAAACCCCAACAATGAACCTAACTCCAAATTTCTCGATTCCAGCTCTATTTGTTCAACCAAATCCAAACTGTACCAATTATGGTACGATTTAGTTCTTTTCGTACACATAAGTACAAAATTTCCAAAACTACGTACATATTACAATCCTACTCTCCGACGGTATTGTTAATTTTAAATTTTAGAATTCCAGCTCCATTTTTACCTCCAATTAAAATTTGTACCAAATATAGTACCATATAGTGCTTTTAGTACACATGAGTACACGATTTCAAAACCACCTCCTTATATCGACCCTATTTCTCAACCTTAATTCGCATTCCAAATTTCAAGTTTTTAGCTCTATCCATTTACATGCTACAAAATTGTACCAAAAATAGTACATTTCAGTATTTTTCGCATACGTATAGTTCGAATGTCCAAAAAACCCTTTGCTATATCTATTCTACACTCCATCAGTGACCCTCATTTAAAATTTAAGAGTTCGCCAAATACATATGGTTTCAAATTTAGTACTTTTCGTACCGTTCTATTACGAATATCCAAAAATCCAGCCTTATTTGTCACCTTTGGACCAAGAGTGACCCTCAGCCAAAATTTCAAGATTCTAGCTTCAGCCGTTTCGGCTGGGCGTTGATGAATCGTTAAATCAGTCAGTCAGGCAATCAGTCAATCACTTTACTCTTTTATTAGTAGGTATGTTCCCGTACTACAATAATCTACTACTGTTTACTACGAATTTTCCTTTATGCTATCGAAGAAACAGTGACATCTAGTAGATTCTTGCAGTACGGGAACATACCAATTGTTTTAAATTAAAATAACATTCACAGTTTCTTTCGAATTTCTTCAAAAATATAGAATAAAACATAAAAAAATATTTTTTTATCTTTTTGACTTTTTTATTTATTTATTTATTTATTCTAAAATATTTCAATTTATAAAAATACTTAATTAAAATTAATAATAAATAATATATTTATTGATAACATAAAAAATTCTCCAAGTATCACAAACAAACCCATCATTACTACACTTTCATATGCAGCAAACAAGTCATTGTTATCGAAATGTCAAAGTCGATTAACAGCACATCGATTTATCTCTTTGTTTAGAAAAAACAATCGATTACTGTCTCACATAACCAATTTATATATCCCTATTTTACTCATTGCTTTCCATCATCATCAGCATTGAATCATAATCATTGAGAGCGTACAGAACAGAATTCGCAAAGACGTGAACGCGATTAAACAAGAAAACCAAGAAACAAAAAAAAAGCACACAATCAAGTACGAACTGCTTGAGCTTGCTATGCTAGTTTACTACTACTGTTCAATATATAAACAGATCAAAAACTGTTAGTAGAGAAGTTCATTATTAAAAGAAAAAATATACAACAAAAAATAGGTAACATATTGAGTGAGCAAAGTAATATTTCATACAAAAATAATCAATTTTAAAAAGTTACTACTAAAAAGAACTACAAAAAGTGCCTTTCTGTTAAATGATAATAAATAAATACTAGAAAAAAAAAACAACTACAAACGAAACTAGTGATAAAAAATTAACAGCAAGAGACGATATTTTAGTTTAAAAAGAAAGAAAAAAACTTGGCCACGCATTTTAAGAAAACGGCCTTCCTTCTCCAATACATAGAGAGCAAAGCACAACCGCGCTTGTTGTTTACAACATTCATTCAGGAAGTGTGTTTCGTGTAAAGTAGTCACTACTCGTCGTCAACAACGTTAATTTTGAACGCGTGTCCAACAAGTGACTGTTTTTTAAATAAAATTTGTTAAAGAAAAAGTATATCAAAAAATAAAAGAAGAAATAAAAATAAATAAGACCAAGAAAATAAAATTCAAGTTGAGAAGAAAATATAGAAGTAAGTTTAAAACTTCTTAATTTACTCGTCTACCTCCTGCCTGCCTACTATTACACCTCACCCCCCAACCACCACCACCCCCCATTAATGTGTGTGTCTACTATTTGGTGATAATCGAAAAGCAACAACAAAAATATTTCATTTAAATCGAGCTTGATTGACTCAAGTGATTTCTTTGGCCGTTGTGTTTTTTTTTTCACTGAACTTACGTAGTCGTGTTGTATACTTACCTACATACATACATAGATTAAAAAATAAAAGAAGAAAAAACAAAAAAACACGGTCGTTTCCATACGTGAGTGAGTGTGTTTGTTCATCGTCCGCTCGTTTCTGTGTGTTGTTGTTTATATATATGTGTGATTCAACAGCAACGCAACGAAAATAAAGCAAACATCAGCAGCACCAATAATAATAACAGCAACAACAACAACAACCGAGAAAGAGACGACCCAACCAAAGAGTGTGAGTGAGTGGTGTGAGGCCCACATTGTGTGTGCGCTGTGCTGTGTGAGAGCAAGCGAGAGGGTGCTAGCGTGAGTCATAGCACACAATAATAATTCGTATTGCTTTTTTTCGTGTGGTAAAGTGAAATGAAAATGCGGATAAAAAGAGAATCACCGTGCCTATTGCTAAGATTTATGCCAATCACCAAAGTCGGTAAGTTTTTGCGCTTTTATTTTCTGTTGTGTTCCGAAAATAATCATAATAATATTAATTTTTTCGGTGTGTATGATTCTTGTGTTGAAAAAAATTTGGTGTTTGTCGGATATTTTTTATTTGATTTCGTTAGCAAAAAAGTAAAAAAACGTATATTTTTGTGCTAAAAATTATTATTAAAAACCAGTCTTGAGTGTGTGTGTTTTTCGTTTTATTTTTGAATTGGTATTTTTATTACGTATGCATCGTCGTCGTCAACGTCTTCTTCTTCACAAACACTCCTACCCCTCACCCCGTTCAATGGCTGTTGGAGATTGATTGGTTGGCTTTATAATTTTTTTCGAAAACTACGTAACGAAAGTAAAACGTAAGCTTTTTTTAAAAATAAAAAAAAATATTTTGCGTTTGTTTTGCCTGTTTTTTTGTTTCGAGAATGTGAGATTGTAGCAAAAAATATAAATTATGCATAGCAATACTTTATTAATCATCTTTCTTTTACATTCATTTAAGATTAGCCACAAAAAAACACCCGCACTCTACCTGCCCTCCCCTCCCCCATATCACCAATAATTATTTATAATTGTTGTTGTTTTCAATTTAATTATTATTAGCTATTATTGTATAATTAAATCGTCGATTAATTCATTTCATTGCTTGCTCGATGATTCTTTGCACCACATTTTGCTTGCGATTCTTCTTTCATTCCCTCTCTTTATTTTATTTTATTTATTACAAATAAAATTAGTCATTGCGGAATTCCTAAGAGTACCCCGTCATTCACGGATGGCATAAATATAAATTCCTATGCTTGCTTGATCATACAGGTGATCAGCAGTCAGCAGCAACAACAACAAAACCACAAGCAAACAACAACTGACCATTTTGCAAAACTCCGCATTAAGATTACTCACAATTTATTTTAGAATCCGTCGCTGCCTTGCTGCTCTTCTCTCTCTTTATAAAGAATTATATTAATAAAATAACAATAACAACAAACATTAATCTTCACGAAGCTGCTTGCTTGTTGTTGCTGTTTATTATTATTATTGTTCACGATGATGATGTTGCTGTGTATAAATCTCTGAGTCGCCATACAAGTATGTGTGTGTGTTCTGTGTTTACTCATTATAAGAAGAAAATTGTAAACATTTTGTTTTTAATTTTTGTTTTGAGTCATTCTTCCCTCCGTTCGTTCGCTCGTTGTCGTCAATGAGTGTTTCGTTTCGTCTTCTTGTTGTTTTGTCTGTCGGTTTGTCTGATCACATTCATTTTTGCATTGGATTCCACCATAGACAACACAACAAACATAGACACAATGCATACACACACTCATTCCCAATAAAAGGAAGGAGACTTGACTTGTGTTGTTTGTGCGCGCCATAATAAAGAAATGACGCGTTTTTTCTTGTCAATTTTTTTTTTTTTGAAGTGTAGACAACACTGTTAAAACGCTTTGAAACGACCTTTCGAGTACGCCGCGACAACGAGTTCGAGTTTAGCTGATGTCGTTTATTTTTTTTACCGTTCGTTGTTGTTGTTGTTGCTACTTTTGTAACTGGTATTCCACCATAGTAGATATGTGTGGTGTTGTTGTTTTTTGGCAGTAACAACAAAAAACACAACAGCATCGTCGTACAAGAAATCAAACAAGCCCAGCCATGCAGAGTCGCCAAGCCAGCCAGCAAGTAACAACAAGTCAAGTATTTTAAAGTGGTCTCTTTTTTTCTTCTTTTGTATACATTCAGTTGTCATATTACACATACACATATGTACATGCATATAACAATTGTTGTTGTATCTTTGAAACCAGTTGGAAAAATGTTCGTACTTGACATTGTACAAAAAAGTAAGGAAGATAAGACAACAACAACTGTTATTAATGCACTTTCTTCTTCTTCCTCCAATGATCTCTCACTTGGAGTTACTCCCTCTCTCTCTCAGTGTTTGTCTTCCTGTTGCATAAGTTCAGTTAGGTGATAATTTCTCGGCCTTTTCTAATTGGAAATTTTAGGAGATTTAAAATAAGAAAAAGAAGGATAAAAATAGTAGACATTTTAAAAATGAAGTCAGGAAGACTAACTAAAGCTAACTGGCTGGCCATACATTAAGTTTAAATTAAATCAGCTGTTATAAATGATTCTCACTCTTCCCATTGCATTATCACTGTTCTAAGCGGAATTTTAAATAGATTTGATACCGGAAAAAGGAAGATGTAAACACAATATAATAAAGGCAAATTAATAATTGACATATGAAGAAAATGTTATTACATTTGTTAAGGTAACCAGGCCACACATTAAATCAAAATGTAAAAAAATGCAAAATAAAAAAACAACAGATATTAATACATTTTCTTTCACTTTTAATATTCATTTTAAAAAATTTTAAATAGAAAATTATATTAACTGAAATTATGTTGACAATTAAAATTACTCCGGCTTAAGGGTATATGGCCACACATGAAATTCAAATTTCATTTTATTTTATATGATATAGCAATTAGCTAAAATCACATATACCGTTATTATTTTTTTTCTAATTTTACTAGACAAATTTTGTTGAGGATACTTTTGAAGTAAATTAATCGGTCACACATAAATTTAGAATTCAATTTTTTTTATTTCGTACTGGTTTTTTGGCTACCAAATGAATTTGTGTAAAGTCATTCATTATTTGAATTTTAATTATTTTCTTTGTTAATGTTTTTTTTCTATTTGTTAATGATATCAGGCCTATTATCTTTTCTTATACAATTGCTATTATTATTTTTTTTTTTTTGCAAAGTTTTGTTTTTTATACTTTCCTTATCAGTTTACTCGCTACTATACTACTCCATATCTTAGAATAGTAAAAAAGATAGCAGTTTTTTTAAATAAGCGTACTTTTGTTATAGACATTTTAGTACAAAATCATTAACTCTTTATTCGTCAAAAAAATGGTTACGACATTTCAAAAAAAAAAAATCTGTCAATAAATATTATTAAATAAATTATTAAATTAGCCTTCATTGTATAAACAATTTTATTAATTTATTATTTTTTCAATATGTATTCATTGGTAATTTGCTTCTAGAATTTGCCAAAATATTTCTTCGAGTAGATAACAGAAAAGATTTATTGCCCAGTTAATTTGAGTTGAATATTTGATAAACAAAATGTGTCATATTTTACTACAATATGAAGAAAAAAATAAAATTTATTGAACTAAAAGGAGATATAAATTAAACAAATAAATAATGGAGGCAATTATTTTATGAAAAAATTAAACAATTAATGAAAAATTAAAATTTTAGAGTAGTTGTTCTCCTTTGTTCAAATTTATTGTAATTGTTTCTTGGCCATTCGGCTTTTTATTACAAAACATTAATAAATAAATATGAGAAAATAAGAAATCCATTTCCATAATTTTTTACCAATATTTGAATTTTTATACCCTACAAAACTATGTTGTCATTTTATATATTTTTCCTTCATTTTCATCATATAATTTATTCATTATTTTCGGCCATGACAATTTTCCTATTGGGTATGCCTGCCTGCCTTGCCACCAATTGTTCTCCTTCAGACACATATTATACTGAAGTATTTTTATTTTTTGATTCGGTTCATTTTTTTATTACTTCTTAACCACCATAATATTTCCTAAAATTAACAACAACAACCAGCAATTCAACAAGTTACAAATTTCTCCTCGCCGTCATGGAACTTGGAAAACATTTTTTTTTGTTTTCCTTGACGTTTTCGCGTAGAATTTATGAAAACAAAAAAACAAAAAAACTGTATGCAAACTTCTTTTGTAGAATAGAATTTAAATCGCATAAACACACACTATATACAGTGGTGGTCACGCAATTAAAACATTTATTGTGGTAAACATTTTTAGATCAGCCCTCGATTCATTTGAAGTATTTTTGAAAATTTTTTAATTCAGAACACTTCGATATACTGCACTTAAGAGGTTTAGTGTGATAATAGAAAATTATTGCATGCAATTTTTCCATAAATAACGGTTTTTATGAAAATACATCGACTTTGAAGTGGCCATATAATTAAAACATTGTGTAATTTTTTACTTTACTGCATTTTTTGAACATGTTTTTTAAAAAATCACTTAAATTTGGGTAAGTTATGCAAATTAGGCATCGATAAAATCATTTACAGAAAAAAAAATTTTGAAAAAATCTGTAAAATTTATCAAAATTGCCAAAATTTTTTACAGTACACCTAACATTCAGAAAATCACCTTTATTATAGAAGATAAAGTTCCGAATGCACCAGAAATTGCTAGAATTAGTAGAAAACAATAAATAATTCTCAAAATAAATACATATTTGAAATAATAACTCAAAAAAATGGCAATTAACTTAAGGGAACGATTCATCTTCAATAAAAGCTATTGAAGAAGGCCGGAATATTTTTGTAGTATGTGAGAAAATATCGATTGATATTGGAATTTTTTATATCAAATCGATTGTTCGAGTAGTACAGAATATATTTTATCAAAAAATATATATGTCACAACGAAACGAGCAGAGATCAACGCCTATGTTGACGAGTAAAAGTTTCTGGCACACAGCAGTATTTTTGATGCTCAACACAAGACTTTAAATATTTGTCAAATTGTAATTTTTTTTCTTCTTTTAGGCTAAAATAGATTAAATGGACATTCTACTATTCAAAAAATATTATTATGGAAAAATATTGTCATGTTCAATAGATTTTAAGGGTCAAGAGTTAACCATCGAACATGCTGCTGTGTACCAGAAACGTTTTCTAGTCAACATAGGTGTTGATCTCTGTTCGTTCTGTTGTGACTGATATATTTTTTGTTAAAATATATTCTGTACTACTCGAACAATCGATTTGATATAATAAATGCCAATAGCAATCGATATTTCCTCACATACTGCAAAAATATTCCGGCTTTCTTCAATAAAGGCTATCGAAATTGAGTCGTTCTTTTAGGTTAATTCCCATTTTTTCAGTTTTTATTTCAAATATTTATTTATTCTGAGAATTATTTATAGTTTTCTACTAATTCTAGCAATTTCTGGTGCATTCAGAACTTTATTTTCTATAATAAGGGTTATTTTCTGAATGTAAGGTGTACTGTACAAATTTTTGGCGATTTTGATAGATTTTACAGATTTTTTCAAAAATTTTTATCAGTAAATGACTTTATCGATGCTTAGTTAACATAATTTAACAAAATTAAAGAGGTTTTTTAAAAATATTTTCAAAAAATACAGTAAAGTAAAAAATCACACAATGTTTTAATTATATGGCCACTTCAAAGTCGATGTATTTTCATAAAAACCGTTATTTATGGAAAAATTGCATGCAATAATTTTCCATTTTCACACTAAATCTCTTAAGTGCAGTATATCGAAGTGTTCTGAATTAAAAAAAATTTCAAAAATACTTCAAACGAATCGAGGGCTGATCAAAAAATGTTTACCACAGTAAATGTTTTAATTCTGTGACCACCACTGTATGTATATGTACACCGTTATGTGCCTTGAAACTAGTCTTCACATACCTACATAATTTTTTATTATTAAAGTATTTATATTTATTTTCAATTTTCTGTTTTTTTTTTTTTCAGAATACGGTAATAAAAGACCGAAAGATAACCTGGATACTCCTTGCGGTGAAGAAGAAACAAACTCCTCGTCCAGTCGGCCATCGCTGACGAGGAGTTGTAGTAGTCCTGCTGTATATGGTAAGTTGAAAAAATGTATATTTAAAAAAATTTATAGATATACGATATTTTTTTCGAAGTTGATAAAATTATATAGAAATGGGTCAATCAGAATTTATTATTAAACTAGTTTTTTTTAATTGGAATTTTATGAGAAATTCAATTTATTGTCATGCCCTAATTTTGCCTTTCACTTCTCATTGATTTTTAATTAAAAATTAAAGTCAATTCCAATTGGAAGTTATTATCAAAGAAATAGTAAAAATTACACTTTTCCATCTCTGGTGTTGCCTAAAATGACGCCGGTATCATTGATTTCTTTATTACATTGATTTCTTTGTGACACAAATAACCGTAATTGATGCAGCTCTTCCTATTATTCCCTCTCTCTTCACACTGTGATCGAAACCATAATTGCTCTACTTTAACACTTTCTGTTTCAATTGGAATGTTATTAGAATATTATTACATTTATTGATGCTGTTCTTATTATACTTCCCTCTCTCTCTCTTTTCTGTTTGTGATATCAAAACTGTTATTGTTTACATTACGAAGCACTACTGCCCTTTAATGCCCTCTCTCCCTTTCTCTCTCATGATATATCATGGCGTCTCGAACTTGTCCAATCTCTTCCAATTGGATTGTGTTGTTTCTTCTTTTGGATTGCCAAAAAATGGCAGCCATAAAGGTCATTGACATTGAAATGATAACAAAGTGATATCAACGATATCACAGGGCAAACATTATTTGGCCATTCACAGTGAAATAATAACAAATGACTGTTATTGATGATAATGTATGATAACAGTTATTTTCGGTGTCCTTATTGAAATGATAATTTAATATGGACATTGGGGAAATGTTGTGAGCATGATGCAATAATAAGATGATGTATCAAAACCTTTGTTTTTGTGTCGACCATCTCTCAAAATGTTGCTTCTAATATTCCACATGGTTGGAAAAATTGCACATCGAATTCAAGTAGATATTAAGCGCTTTGACAGTTAATCGAGACATTAGCTGCGCAAAATTGACTACCTATTTATTGTGCCATGGTTGTGAGGAACAAAATAAAACCTATGGTGGGTTTACGCGGTAGGGAATTTAACAGGGGATTTACATATAAAAATCGCTTAAAATCCTTTTGTAAAACCAAAAATTTCCTATAATTAATAAAATTTACAATTTAAAATTATATTTGTCATTCAAAATTAATTCTAGAAAAAACCAACACTTTTGCTGCAATGATTTATCACCATCACAATTAATGATTTGTTGTTTGTTTATTTATTATTAGTTAACAATTAAATATAAATATTACGAAAGTGAATAAAAAAACCAAATGACACACACTTAATTAACATCTTTTTGACGCATTATTTATACCTGGAAGAGGGAGAATGATAGTATGTTTTGATTTGAAAAAAATAAATAATTAGTTTCTCATTGCATCACTGGCTTGATCACAAATGAGTCATATAAAAAAATAAGTCATTGATTTGTTTACAGGACCTTTGCTTAGAACAATGCTGCCGCGTGACCTGACGTCATCCAACTTTTTTTTAAATGATTCACCCCCGTATGTTGACAAAAATTGTTGTTGATGGGGAGATTTTGAAAACCCATTATGATTTGGAAAATTTTCTTATTACAAAAAAAAAATCCAAACAGGAGCTTTTTGAGTGTGATTCACAATTTTTGTTTAATATGTAGGATGAGTATTAACAAAATGATGACAAATATTACCCACATACATACATGTAGGTATGTAATTTTTTTAAAGTACATTTTTAATTGTTTTTTTTTTCGTAAGTAATGAGTAATAATGAAACTCATTTTGTGAGGCGGCTGACACATACTTTTTTGGCAGACATTTTTTAAGTTTGTAAAAAAGCGGAACATTGACCTATCAAATGTTTATGTTTAAGATAAGAAAACAACTTTTTAAATGTTTCATGACCCTGGGAAATATAAATGTTGGGGGGTAGTTTCAAAAATTGTTTGGCAATGTTAATTTTTGGTCCTTCGAGCATGACATGATTTAACCTTAAAAAAATTTAGGTATGTGTGTAGAACACAAACGGTTAAGATCTTTTTAGACTTCTAATGAATCAATTTACTTAATTTTAACCAGAAAATTTTTATATCAAACTTATTAGGTCCACTTTGGGGCCATACATACTCAAGATCTATTCACAATCAGTTGATATACATTTTTATGAAGGTTCTAATATGCCTAGGAAATTAGTTTAATGCATAATATGCCATGAATCGGGTATATGAGGTGATTACGAGTTTTGGTCCTTCGAGCTAGATTTGAACTTTATTACAAATGGCTTTAAGTTTCATTCACAATTAAATTGTTTTTTTTAACCTCTAAGAAACCTAATTAACTAGTTTTTGGATAGAAATCAGGCATATGAGACCATTTTTTAAGCCCATACAATTTATGGTCCTTGGAGCTAGATAAAAATTGTATGAATAACAATGGCTCAGATTCTATTCACATTCAATTGCAAATATTCTTAAAGCTCCTATAAGCCTAATTATTTTGTTTTAGACAGAATAGTCCTCTAATCAGGCACATGAAGCAATTTTTGGGGCCATACATTTTTGGTCCTTCGATGTAGATTGCAATTCTATGAAGTTCTATTCACAATCAGTTGATATATATTTTTTAACTTCTAATAAGCCTAATATAATTAGTTTTAATCATAATAAGGCTTATGACTAACCGAACAAAACCTAGTTTCTACTTTATATTCCGTATGATTAACCTCTAAATACTTGTAGACTTATTAATATTTTTACTGTTCTTTATATTATTTTTTTGTTTTGAATTTCCTGAGAATAATTATTATTATTGTAGTTGTTAATAGTCATAACAAACCTCGAAAAAAAAAAACAAAACTTCATAGAAGAAAAAACTATGACAAGGAAAAGGTCGATTGCTCTATCCATTTGATGTTTATGTTGACTTGGTCGGTCGTCGTTTTCAGTCTGTTTTTTGTTTACACTAAAGTGTGGCATGACGAGAAAAAAAACAAAACATTAATGACTTTTCGTGGCATGACTCACTCGAGTCACTCACTTCTCACTCTACCTCTATACTTCAGAATCCAAGTGGCTGGGGGGAAGACAAAACAAAAATAAAATACAATGGCATATTTAATTATGATGCGAAAATAAACTACCAGCAGCCACACAGAAAACGTAAGCGGTCTATTCTTTGCTTCTCTAGTCGGTCACACAATAGGGCTTTACCATAGACGTAACAGTACTTTCATACGTAGTTAGTAGCGTCATTATAAGACACACATACACTTATACTGGGGGGACCGACAAAAATTCTACACAAAACAAACCCATGAAAATAAAATAATTTGCATAGCTAAGAAGTAGAGTCACTATTTTTATTTTCAAAAATGGAAATTTGGTAGAATAGTAGATTTATGAATGAACAAATAATAATTTTTATTCTTTTTTCAAGTTTGATGTAATTTTTATTAAAGTTTTACTTTTATTTTTTTTTTAAGTTTGAGAATATTTTTTTTTAAATTTATAATTTTGTCCTTAACTATTCTTTGTTTTCAATAATTACACTGTTATTGGTATCTCTATATATCTTTATTAGCAAATTTATGCACGCACAATTTCATTCATTCAGATTCATTCATTCATATTATATGACCAAACCCCCTATCCTTATATGGAACCTTGTCGTCTCTTTGTGTGAACATGTGGGGTCTGAAAATGGTCAATTGACTGGTTGAACAAAAAACTATTTTTAATGAATTAACATTTTTATTTTTATGAATGAAATGTGTAAATGCGTAGGAGAAAGGTAATATTGATTCTCCATATTTAATTCGACGAGCATTTGTTTTTATTGGAAGATTTACACTTTTCCATCTCTGGTGTTCCCCAAAAATGTCTGTTTGCATTTAGTAATGACAACAATCGATGAATTTTCTTTCGGTAACCTCTCTCTTCTTATTGAGATTGTCATTATTATTTCTCTGATCTTTCTTCCAATTTGGAATTTTTTTGATAAACTGTCATGCATAATGTAAACAATAACTGTTATTACTAATGCTCGTGTAATGTCCTCTCTTTCTCTCATTGATATATCATGGTTTCACTGGCTTGAAGAGTTCATTCAATTGGATAGTGCTCTTGCTTTTTTGGCTTGCACAAAAATGTGTTGTTCATTCACATTAAAATGATAACAATTTAATATCAAGGATAATAACAGGTGCTTGCCAAAAAATGTGTCACTGAAATGACACCAAATTAATATCAATGATATCACACTAATGAAGCCAATCACTGCTTTAACTGATTCATCTCGTGTAATGGCCGACCTCTCTTTTCTTATTGAAATGGTATAAAAAAAGATTTCAACAAAAATATTATTGATAAAAATAGCGATTATTTCTGATCTTCATTTGAAAAATATTCCAAAAATTTTTTTTCATGAAAACTAGGTATGTCTCGAAATTACGAAAATAATTTCGATTAATAGAAATTGTGACGATAAATTAATTTTTTATTAATTTGTTTATTACAATCTTAAGAAATTTTATTGGAAATGACGCTTAACATATTTTAAGTTCATTTTTCTTTTCAATAAATAATTGTAATAGAAACATAAAAATATTTAAATTATCACTAATATAATATAAATTATTTAAGCCAATTCAAAAAACTTGCTAATCTGAAAAATTCTGGCGATTCCGATTTGGGTTCCGCAATCAATTGTCCGGATTAGAGAGATTTTTACTGTATTTAATTTTTATTAATTATTATAATATTTTTTTTGTAACTTTGTTGTTTAAAATGTTTCTAATTTTGTTCGTATCATCCTCTTCTTATTTCCAGATATCGAAACACATCCCGCCTCACCAGTTTTCCCACATCTATTGCTGGGCAATGGCCGTGATGCTGGCGATCCCAGCAGTGTGGGAGCAAATTGTGTTTTAAATGTTACCTGCCAAGCACCGAGCACAAATCCAATGCCGGGCCTTAAATATATGCAAATACCTGCCAGTGATACACCACATCAAAATATTAAACAATATTTTCAGGAAGCCTATGATTTTATTGGTAAGTGTAAACAAATAATAACAACAAAAACAATAACTACAAAACAACTTTTTAAAACCGCAAACTGCGTCGTAAAAATTTAAAAAATTCCCTGCCTTACCCCTCGGCGGACAATGCCATACATTCCCCACCAATAAATAGTTGTTTTTTTTTTATAAAAACAACAAACTGGGATTAAGCCTGACTATTTTGCAAAAACAAAATGCAAATGGTATCCCAAATAACCCGCCAAACACTAAAGTTGTAATTTTTTTATTGCTTTAACTAGCAATACCAACAACAACGTTATGTGCATTCGACACAAAGTGACGACACATATCAGTGGGAAATGTATTGTAGTTGTCTGTAAATGCCTTGTTGACCACGAAGTCAGCAACGTTCTCATTGGGGTGTGTCGCTGTGTGTTTCGAATTGTCACAAGAGACATTTGTTTGTTTTTTGTAAAGAAGCTATTAATAGCTTCTGGGGAGAATATCCCAACAAAAAACTAAGGGAACTGATGAGGATCAGTGGCGAGATCCGAAACTATAGTCTTCCCTGCCTTACCCCTCGGCGGACAATGCCATACATTCCCCACTAATAAATAGTTGTTTTTTTTTTTATATAAAAACAACAAACTGGGATTAAGCCTGACTATTTTGCAAAAACAAAATACAAATGGTATCCCAAATAACCCGCCAAACACTACCAAAAATCTGACAACTATTTTTTCGCTAATTAAAATCTTCAACAAATTAAATTTTTTTCTATTTTGCCTATGAACACTCTAGAAATGTTAGTAAGGCAAGTGTGAGTGTGTATGTGAGGTTACCATTTGTGTTTTTGTATTGTGTCTATGTGGTAGACAGCATGACGACAAAAATATCCATGCAACCAACAACTAAACACAACCCTTCAGAAAATGACTAACTCCACTACGACCGAGTTTTTCTACCGGCATACATATTTGTATGTGTCTGTGTTTGTTTTTGTTTGCTATACCACAAACTTCCTTCCGGTAGCCGGGGCAACAAAGCAGGACACAAACATAAAAGAAGAAAACAAAAAAATTATCCCCCAACCATCCCAAAAAAAACAAAAGCCAGTCTTGTATTGATAAAACGGCGCAAGAGAAGAAGACCAACAACATTACAAAATATGTCATTCATGTTGTTGTTGCTGCATACTATTTTTCCAACATTAAATACACAGCCATTTATCTTCAGAAATTTTTGTTCCATTCCATTCGTCGTTGTTTTGTGTGTGTGTGTTAAGTTTCAACATGTAAAGCCGGCCAGCCAGACCAGACATGACCAAACTTCCATTGCTGCTGCTTCTTCTTATTCTCCTTTTTATATAGTATACAGATTTAGAAGATGATGATGACGGTTCATTGTTACACATACAACACACACAAACATACATGCCATGAATGTAATGCTTTTGTTTTTGGCGCGTTGGGGGAGGGCATGCAACTTTTTTTTTTTTTGTAAACTTACGTCACGTGCACTTTCGACCTCGTTCCCAATGAGCCATACAACAACCAAGCAAATGTTGTAAATGTAAACAATGTGTGTGTGCGTGTGTGGTTGATAATAATGACGTTTAAGAAAGCCCATTAACCGTTCATTCTCTCTAGAATAAGAAGAAGAAGCACCACCACCAACCATCATCATCATTATCATGTCGCACGCACACACCGCACCACACCGGTGTTTTGTTTTTATACCCCATCCCATTTGCCTTGTGACGTATGTTCTTAATGCGATGTGCTACTCGGCTACTGATGGCGATGACTCATCGTATAACAACAGTAGCAGCTTTATTTTTGGCATTGTTGTTGCTGTAGTTTGGCAGACTATACCAAAATTTCTCCCTATCCGTGTGTTACTTTTTCTATTTATTTCGAAAAATTGTTGTTGTGTTACAATTGTTCTTAGGGCCCATTCAAAGTAGTTTATCTCAGCCCCCGCTATTTTTCTTTCATTTCTTTTCTGTTTTTCAATTGCCAACCTAGACAAGGTAACTTACTCTCCCCTCTCTCTCTCTTTTTGTCACTTGTGTGTTGGCAACATGTGGGCCTCCCTATTCCCCCATCATTACAGTGAGCATACATATGAGTTGGAGTGTTTGTTTTTGTATGTGTGTGTGCATAATTAAAGAGTGAACGACCAGCCAAGAGGAGAAGTAAAAATACCCCATTTTATTTGTTGTTGTTGTATGCATTGTAACTGAAAAGTTTATTTAGGCCTGTTGCCGCCGCCTGCCACCTCTTTTTACCCCACAAAAATAAATTTATTGATTTTTTTTGTTGCTTTTAATTTTTTTTTCCTAAATTCGTCTAACAAAAACAAATGTAAGTGCGCCGTGTAATGTTCATATTCTCCTGTTTGAGCAAGAATATAATTTTATTTGTAGGTGGCAAGCAAAGCAGCAGAAGAAGGAGGAGGCTATACTAAAGTAACATTTAAATGTGTGGTAATCATGTCTGGACGACATTTTTCTTGTTTACAAAATATATTTTAATGGAATTTACTAACAAAAATGTGTGTTTGATTGTAAATTTATGTATATTTATATATGCTAATGTAATCATCCATCTACATGTATGTAGATTATGTACTCTACCTCCTCTGCTGGGTGCTAGAGTACTTTTTTGTCATGATTTTTTTGTTTTATTTGACTTTTTTTGTTTTTGAAACAGCAACAACAACAACAAAATATATATCGCACACGGCACCAACAATCACACATACTTCAATGAATTCACACACTCAACACTCAAAAAATGTGCGATATTATTAACAACAAAAGCCTAAATGCTGATTCATAATATTGTTTGTGGTGCTGAGTTTTTCGACCAATTTTTTATGGGATTGCCAGGTCGCGACGAGCCACGACCACCACATAATAATCAAAGCAAAAGATAAATAGGTATATAGTAACAGTATTGCCATTGTTAACGGAGAATGAGAGAGAAATAGTTTTATCTTCATTCTTTTAGGTTCTTAGTGTTCTTATTTATTAATACTAATTATTACTTGAATAGTAATTAATTTCATTGTAAATTACATTTATTAAAATTATATTTTTAATATCCACTGATGAAGAAACAAAATTCGCGCGCTTTTTTTATAATATTTTGTCATTTCTTTTGCTCCCCATGTAAGGTTTACGCGTTCTTTACAAATGACAATGGCTTTGGTGTTCTGCCTGTCATGTTGTTAACGGAGCAAGAGAGTGAGAGATAGTTGACTGGTATAAGGAATGTCAAACTGTATTGTTTAAATGGGAGAAACATAGTTTTTACTATGGTATGTTAAATATGTAGTTTAAATAATTGTTATTTAATTAGCAAAATTGTTTAAATGAGAAAAGTCGTGGAGTTTTTTTTTTAATATAACACCAATAAATGTTATGCTTTGGTCATGAATTGAATGTTTATCAGGGCTGCCATATTTGCCGATTTATCGGCATTTTGACGATTTTTCACTCTAAAAATGGAAAATGCCGATTTTCCGATTTTTGCCTCAGAATTGCCGATATTTCAACAATCGACACAAATTGTCTAACTTTTTAATTTAATACGGCGTTACCATACAAACATATAAAATTGGCAGCTTTAAATCATTATAACTATCGACGACTCGCCGCAGCCGTTTTCAATGGCTTAGATATCTGCATTTTTTGTCAGCATTGTACTCTGTCTAGTTTACATTTTACATCGAATAAGGCAAATCTTTAGACTCCGAGTTTAGGGAGTTAAACTTTCTGAATTTTGAAGAAATTTTTGAAAATGCAGAATATAATTTAAAAACTTTTCGGAAAAAAATTTCCGAAATTAAACGTGGGGCTCCAATTTAGCTTTTCCAGTTTTGTCTAAATTTGTACAAAGAATTATGGTTCTTCCACATTCCACAGCAAATGTGGAACGAATTTTTAGTCAGGTAAACCTTAACAAAACTAAAATTAGAAGCTCACTTGAGAATGATTCATTGGAAGGGATTCTTTATTCTTAATATTACCTCAAACTAAATAATTCAAATTGTTTTAATATCAAAATTAATAATGAAATACTAAAAATTTGTAATAAAAATATGTACTAGTTTCTAATTTTTTTATGACCTTAATACCACACTGTGTTATACGTAAATCTGAAAGATCTCACTAGTGTACATAATAATTAATATATTTTAGAAAAATCTACATTTTTTGTAGAAAAATTAATCTTTTATGTTATTTTTTTATACAGAATTGAATTTGTTATCTTTTTTTAATGTAATAAACAATATTGATTTGTTATAAACCAAAAAAAATATGAATTTATTTATAAATTATATGCTGCCGATTTTTTGCCGATTTTTAAAAATACAAATGCCGATTATGCCGATTTTTTTCTGAAAAATTTACGATTTTTCATGAAATTTAACTGGCAGCACTGCTGTTTATATTTGTCAAACTATATCATTCTCTCCCTCTCGCTCTCTCTCTAGGAAATAGAATTTTTGTCATTTCATTTTAAAGCAGTTATGGAGAATAATTTGTCTTAATAATTCGTTATTAATTAAAACTAAGTTGTATATTTGTAAATTACATTTATTAAATTGGAAAATATTTTATATTTTATGTAATATTAAAGGTTGCTAATTAAAAAATAATATTCGCGCGCTTTTTACTATTGAAAAGACAAAGGTTGTTGTTTTCTGCTTGCCGTGCTGTGTTTAACGGAGCAAGTGAGAGATAGAGTTAATGAGGAGATTGTCAAACTAACATTTCATGGTGGATGACATTTCATGGGGGGTTTTACAAACGATCAAGTATAGGGTAGAATGTGATGAGAAATTGAAATGTACTATACTATTACTCATTTCTACAAAAAATGTCCCCGTTTAGAATCGGAAATTTTATTTTCTTTTCGTGTAATTCCATGATGATGATCAATTATTGTATTCTTGGTCGATGACTTCTTTACTGCCGATTGACTGGCTGTCTGACTATCTGATTTATAATTGTAATAAATA